AAAGATCTTATAAGCTACCTCAAGGAAGCTGAGGATTATGTCCATAAGGCCACACAGCTAACAAATGATGAATACAAGCATCACTTGGCCATGCAACATCGCCAGCTTGGCTACATCCACTCACAGTTATGTTTAATCCAAAAGTCAACGGAGGAACATATCATAAACAACTTTGATAAGGCTTGTAGATATAACCCTGAAATCAGAATCAGCCCGGTCTTCATTCCACCACAGTACCGTTCTCAGTACATGCCCTCAGGAAACTTGGGCAGTCCAGTGGCTGACTTCTCTTTTGTGTTGTAACAGAACATGACAAACTTGTGTTGTGCAAAGTCATAGTAGAGGCCTCTATTTAGGAGGTTTGAGCACTTTTAATTAATGGCAAATCACTTTGCTTGCCAGAATCCAAGTGAGATGACAGACCAAAATAACAAAGAAAACACTACATACTTCTACTTCATCGTTTTACAGGAATCAGTTTAGTCTGACTTCGCTCTTTCTCGTTTTCACAGCCAGTCAAGTATGGTAATTATTTCTTGACCTTTGCATGAGTTATTTTTCCTCACATTTACAAAATTAAGGCAAAATGATACACAAACAAAGCACATTATATTTTGCCAGATAGCCTTCGTTTTTGTGTTTTATTGTACCATAATCTTGTAAAGTACATAGAAAACAATTTATATATATCCAAATGGTAAACAAGACATTAAGAATTGTTTGTGGAACTATACAATACATGTATGATTCAACAATGCCCAATGCATTGTAAGTGGTTTTAGTATAACAATGTAAGTAATACAAACATTGTATTGAAAGAGTAGTGATAGTACCGTAATAAAATTATAAGTAATAGAACATAATGTAAGTACAGAGCATTCTGTACAAGTATCGTAATGTAGGTGATTTAAGTATCGCATTGTAAGTAACTAGTGTTCTTTCTGTGGAATTATAAAAATAATGAAAAACCAGGTGGCTGGCCTGTTAATTTTGAGAGAAGGGGAGTAGACTAAGGGTTTTTTCCTTTACTCTTGGCAATAACATTTCACTTTTCCATTGTAGGAATTATTTTTGGTAATTACTGCCAAAAAGGTTACATCTACATTCAGTATATTTAAATTTAGCTTGGTTGTGAGGCCTACAGGATACACAGTTAACAAGCACAAATGTTCACTTCTAATTTCCAGGTCCTCTAGGCTTTGCTATCAAGCTCGATTTATATATAGCTAGAGTAGCCTATTTCCCCCCCTCCCCCCCATGGCTCATAACTTAGCAGAAAAAGATGAGATCTTGTTGAAGTGTCTGTTAACTATGACTGTGGTCTGTTCATGGGAGGTCCCACGAGGAAAGAAAAATAGACACTGCAATAATTCAACATTGTTCAATCAGTAAACAGCCAAGTTTGAGCTGTACTGTAGTTTCATTTTGAAGGTAAAGGTATCTAGTACTGCAGCAGTGAACCGCAGGAATGGCATGTACACCCACTGTTTTTTCCAAGGTATTCCTTGCTGGGAAGACAAAAAAATTCTGCCAAACGATTTTCATGTACACCTCTCATGACAGGTCTATCTCAGCTTACAGATAGCTTAACACACAGAATTCTTAAGGTGGCTGAACACAACTTTTCGGAACCATGTTTATTCATAATTTTTCAAACCCCAAAAAGGCAAGATGCAAGCACAGTCTTTGGTAGCCTCCTTTCCAGCTGTTATTAGGGTAATCTTGCAACACTTGGAGAAAGCATTGCATGACAACCCTAATAACGGCTGCAAAGGAGTCTTAGGTGGTTTGATAGTTCAGATGATGATGATGTTGTCATGGCAACATGATCAGATATACAAAATTGGGGTTTGATCATTTATAGAAAATCCAGATTTTATCATCATTTGCATGCAACAACCATGCAACTGAATGCTGTCATGTTAATGCTATTTTAATAATTTTAGTTTTACAGAGATAATTTGTAATTATACTTTGTGTCCTTAGTCAAAGTATGACAGGATTATTAAGAATTCCCTCTGTTAAATATTTATTTCAGGATTTTTTCTTCAAATTCACTTACTTATTTCCGGCAGTATTTTCTTGCCAAATTTCACAAAATTCTAGCAAGTGGTTCTTGAGCAAGAAAGCAATAGCAGCATTCAGTCTTAATTTTCAAACAACAACTCATGCACTGCATTTAACTGGGTTCTTTCAATAATGAAGAAAACCCTGAAAAATTGCTAAGTTCTTTGCATCTTAACATTTGCTAACAAAAATTTAAACCTGTAACACAGTGTCATTTATGAAGAAAATTCGCACAAAGACCCTTGGCATAGAACAAATAAACTCATTGATGTAATGGTGACATGTTTGTTTTGTTTTTGTGATTATTGTGCTTGCACTGAATTGCATTTAACAAGAGCACACCAAAACTGTCTGTGAAATGCCCAGGAGCTCTTAGGGAAGGTTTCACACTATTGCATAACTTCAAACAAATTTATATATCTGATCATAGCTGCTGTTAGTAGAGCTACCAAATAAGATCTGACTGAAATGTCATTCACTGAGATCAGGTCGAGATATTAATATTCATGATCAGTGTCTCAGCCCAGTCCAAGAGCATTGAAATACACTACAGCTGTTGGCAGGTGACTGCGGCCACATGGACACACTATCAGATATTTTATGCAGTTGTACACAGCCATAATAGAGGTGAATAAGTTGTGAATCTACCATAGATTTACTGTAACACACTAGTACCCTCTGTGGATCACATTCACACAGTGAAATCTAACATTCGAACACCACTGGCTAATGCAACAAAGAGTGATGTTCTGTTGAATGATAGTGAATACACAGGACTGAATGAGTTCCTTCCAGCATAGTACATCTGAAAAAAGAACAGCAACCACCACACTTCAACCACCAACTTCTAACAGAGAAATGACATCCCAAACATATATGCTCATAAGGACTACATCAAACAGGGTTTCTTGCTTTTTTAATGCATAGTACATGATAATCACAATTAAGCTGTTACACTTGTTGACAAAAATATTCCTGTAAGTTCACTGTAATCATAAAATCATAAAGTTTAGCCAGGTTTCTTTCCATGCATGACTAATAGTTAAAAAATAATTATCTCAATGGTAAATTACTTCTGATTAACGTTCTTAAGAATTCTTAATAAGGCCTTATACATTTCTAAACTCCATGATATGACAAGTAGATTTGTAACACAAAATGAAATACTGTTTTAATTAATGTATGCTCAAAAGACTATTCTTACCTGAAGACACTTTCTAAATCTCTTGTCCCATATTCGGACCTAAGAAAAAAAAAATGGTGTGGAGACTTAAATTAAATACAATAACGTCTCCAAAAATAATAACTCGACCAAGCTCTAAAATCTAAAATCGGACCACATTGACAGGGTGGAACACTCAGTGGTTATGCCAGAGGGTGCTATTTTGGTTAATGCAAAAAAGAGCAACATGATATAAAAGAAACAAACCATCAGCCAAAAACCCACTAGCACGAATGAGTTTACTACTGACAGAAGCAAAACTTTCACCTGTCGAGTACCCAGTAAAGTCAGTAAACATGTTTATTCTTCTGTACCAATTCAGGGTAAGAATTTTCAGAAGCTGATGTCATATGCATTACTATTATATAAAGAAGTACTAAAACAAACAGATAGAAGAAATTGCTTCACCAAGAACAAACAGCAAATTATATACAATGGAGTGTCCTGGGTGAGCAAGATAGATCCATCTAGCCGCCCACTAAAGTAGACAAATGCTACCCAGGATTTCAGTCATCTTACTTGCTCAAGGTGCCAGACATAACAATTACTTTACACAAACCCAGTTCAAGGTCTATACTGTAAGGTGCAGACCATGCTTTTCCTCTTCAATAAATTTGGGGCCCAAGTGTGAAATGTACAGGCAATAAATCAAAGGGGAAAAACCAGGATTGGTAACTTGAAGTATGAATAGAGAAGAAGAGGTAAGCAAGATATGTTAAATATCTCTGTCGCGCCTCTAACAGGTGAACAGGAAACCATTTCAAGTCACAGAGAATGGCTTCAAATGAATGATGTCAAAAGCAAAACAAGTCAATTTGAAATTGTTGCTTAGTTATAAGCATGTTTCAAGACAAAATGTGTTATGTATTAATTTTATTTTCCATGAACATTAAGAAAACCTGGCAATAAGTCACAACACATTTTGGTGACAAAATCAAAACAGCATGTCAAATTTTAGGGGGCCATACAGTAGAACATGGCCTGACCAATCCGAGTGCATAATAATTGAGAGATGTAATGATGTAACTTACCACTCCATATCTGTTGGTTCCACTGATGACCATCCACTTTCTGTCAGAATCAACACAGTACACTACTGAGTCATGAGGGTCTTCCCACGTCAAAACACATGAGGAACCACTAAAAACATACAAACCATCATATAAGTGAAATTAAGCAAATCAATGGTACACATTGCACCAAATAGAAACAATGATGACCTAAAAACAGTAATGCATAATTATGGTTCACAATGTTTAAAATGCAGTGTTACAACTTATAATGTTATCAACCTTTTCACTCCGAGAGTCAAACCGCCACGCTTTACAGTTGGGTGTTTAAAAAAAAACTGCAATGCACTTACAATGATTACCATATAAAATTTACTAAGAATCACATGGTAAGAATGGTTATAAATTGAAATACTAAATATTTTGAGTAGCTTGAATTACTACAGTGGTTAAAAAAAAAAGATTACAGTTAAGTGTTAAACTGTATGAAGTGGAACTATCCTTTCAAGTGTATGGATGATGCAAGTAAGCAACCTGATGGAAATCAGTGATACATGTAGCTATTGAAAAATACTCTCATGAATGTAGTATTGTTTATTTGCACTGTACAAGGTGGTTCTAGGATTTAAGCATGTGGATCAAAAAATTAAGTGTGCAACCGATCAAACAAAGCAATTTAGTTTTTTAGGACAGTAGGTAGTTTTGGTAGTTTTAGTAGTTTTAATTATTGTATATTTTATATTTTAGATCTGTGATATTTGTATTTCTTATTTTAGATTTTAATACTTTTTATTTTTATAGAGGACCTCCCTGAAAACCATGTATTTACGTGACGGGCGCTTCCTCTTTAAAGATTGTTTTTATTATTATGCAGAACCTGCAGATGTGACTGTCAGTCATAAAATTGAAAGCAGGGTGAAAGCTAGTGTGCGACCATTTAAATGAAAGATATTGAGCAGTGCTTTCACATGGTACATGTTAACTATAGAAGTACTGCAGTAAGACAGGAAATTACTGCGTGGAGGGGGGGCAGGGAGGGCCAGTGGTTAGTGAAGATGACTCTTGTCCAGAGTGGTACATCATACTGTAGTTACAGCTTGCCCTGGTTTTCTTTGCACCCAGACTTAGTAGTGTTTTAATACACATACAGTCCACAATCCTCAGTTAAGGTCAAGTAACTGGTACCTGTGATCACAAAGTCTTGTATCCCACAGTCTTACATTAGTGTCATAGCCACAGGACAGCAATGTGTATGGTGTTTCCCACTTAATTCCACGAACTCCTGCTCCTGGTCTGATTGTCCCTGACACCAAGTTTGCAAAGAGCCTTCCACTACAGGAATGAGGAAGTTCTCATGTTAACACATGTCATGAAAAAGCCCTGCAATATCAACACTTCAATCCTGAAGGGTCTTAACCCTTCAAGCTCCGGAGAAAAACCTTATTTTTTTAAAATTATAACAGTACATCAAAAGACCACAAGTAATATACCAGTTGAGAGGTATTGTTTGGAGTAGGTACTAAATCACCACAACAGACATACAAGATGTCACAAATTGAATTGAGGAGTCTACAAAGTAAAAAAATNTTATTATTATTATTATTATTATTATTATTATTATTATTATTATTATTACAGAAAATGAGTAGTTTATGAGCAAAAATTAGACATAGCACATGTTTTCTGAAATCAGTAAAATATACAAACTTGCACAAAGAAGAAACTGTTACAAACCAAATCACCATATTTAAATGAAATAATAGCATATACCACAACACTGTGTGCACAACACCAGAATAGGTGGCTACATTCTTCTTTACAGCCGGCTGCAGGCTTCCACTAAAAACCCTGACAGTGATATCAATAGTTACCCCCTCTTCACTGAGTATGTGAACAAGCAATCCATTTCCACATCCAAGATCAACAAAACTCTGTTTCTGCTTTAGATCTTTTGCATTTCGTTCCTCCTTCCATACAATCTGTTGTAAATCACACAAGTTTTAATTCAAATAAAATGAAATTAGTTAAACATGTGTTCAAATATGTCAACTAAAATTGATAAATTACATAAAACCAGAATACAATTAACCCTCAGACATGGAGAGCCCAGTGGATAGCTGGGGTAAAACAGCCTTTTAAAGCTAAAAAGCATCTAGTGAATCAACATATGCGATGGTTCCTTATTTAGATTCCATCAGTCTCCAAACATGGTCGCCATTACTCTACATACACTCTACAGCATGCAAATATGACACAACATGCTGAAATCAATCATTTAAGGCCTCCAGGGCCAGATGAGCCACACAGTGTTCTCCATTGGTTCTGTATATATACAGCTGTTTATATATGGGTTGTTGATAATTCTATGACTAAGTTCAAAGAGAGGAGAAGCAAGTCTGAAGAGGTTCTGTCTGCCACTCGCTGCCCTGATAGAGATCCTAGGTGCAGGAGGTACCTCTTCACAATCAGGTTGCCTAGGAGCATTCCCATTCAAGTGTGAGCAAGTTATCACACTTGTCCAGAGTATTCTATGGATAGTCACATATCTATGAAGTAGGAGGATTTTAATGTAAAAAAACACCTTGGCTGTTAATTAGGCAATGTACCACTCTACCGAAGGGTCTGGAAAAATACACATTCCATGTGTGACAATACCTGATCAGTAGTCTCCCTCCCCTCTGCACATGAAGTCCTAGCTTTCTAGCATTCAAAGTTTGCTCAGTACTCACCAGCAGATATGAAGCTATAGCAATATCTTCATACACAAACTTCTGTGGATCCGTTCGTTCAGGCCAAATCTACATAAGTTATGCAAACAGTAGGACGGATTATAAATTGTGACAATCCTTTTAACGTTGGATGAAAGGTGATAAATAACAAAACTAAAGGAGGCATGTAACCCTGAGTTTTTTATAATCACCTCATATCCAACAGAGACGAATGGAATAATTACTGTTTCTTTAGTACATGTAAACAGTAATAGGACTATGTTCTGTCCAGTAATGGACAAGTCAAAAAATGTCTCTGACAGCAGTCCAATTCAGCTATTAAAGAAAGTTTTTGGATTCATCTATTTCCAGATTGGACAAGCATGTAGTCCTACCATAATGTTACATACGGCACTGCCCAAATTACTTCTAATTTGGACACTAGATTACAAACTATCAAATAATCGTGCATGCAACTGTATGGGATTTTGGGTTGGTAATATAATTAAATTCTTCAATCGACTGGATAATTGTGGACATTATTTTCAGTTAGATCTAAATGATGTGATGGTATGAAAAGGCTGGAAAATTTGACGCACATCTGCACGCATTGTTCACTTTTTGAGTCGAATGAAGCAAGTCAGGAAAGTGAGTGAAGGAGAGTTTTCTTCCGAAATATTCTTTGCATGATCACCTCCAAAGTTGTCTAAATTTTGGAAAATTGTGCCAAACAATGAAAGGTTTTACAGGAAGATCCAAATTGAAAACATATTGATAAACACATAACAATTATTATTCTGAAGACTGTTCATCCCTGGAACTATTTTTGGTAATTCACAGAAGCTTAAACTGGTTAATGACATTTCTCTAATTATAAACATAAACTCCACTGCTATTGATAGGTCTGACGCATTTAAGTACTTGGGAGTGGTTATAAACCAAACTGTGTCTTGGTCTGAGCACATTGATACTATCAGTACAAAGATCAATAAAAGGATTGGAATGATAAAGAGAATACGACATCTTTTACCTTTACATGCTAAGCTAACACAGTGACTATACAATTGCTTAATCATCCCACCGTTTGACTATGGTGTCACAGTGTGGGGTGACAAAAATAACAACACGCTTATGGGTATGAGCTGCAAGTTCTCCAAAACAAGGCAGCCAAGGTCCTGCTTAATTTACCACCAAGAAGTTCATCAACCAAGGCACTAGATCATTTCGACCTAAAGACCCTCTCAAAGAGACGACACTTCCATAGCTGTCTTATGATGCTAAAATATCTGTCGGGGGAAATTGATTTTAAATTTAACATTAGACGCAATTACAGTAGTTTTCACTTTTATCACTCTTATCACTCTTATTGTCGTCGTTGTCGTTGTCGTCGTCATCGTCATCGTCGTCAGCATCGTCATCATGTCTGACCTCTTAGCACACGTTTGCTCTCTTGCTTCTCGCATGGCGGAGTGCTTAGAGAAATCCACTCCATATAATATTTCTTGTTTCTCTCTTTTCTGAGGCAGCATCTTGGCCTAGTGGTTAGGTTGTTGGATTGGTAACCCGGAGGCCCCAGGTTCAGATCTTCCAGCTCCCTGCCACTAGATAGGTTTGTTTGGTGGTCTGGAAACCAGCATGTCTTTTAAATAACCAAGAGGTCAGCCTCCAACCAGTTGGGATTTTGAACAAGTTTTCAGTTCTATTTATAACATTTGTTTCTCAATTTATATTATTCCCATGGCCAATCTGCACAGCAACGCTACATGTAAATATCATGACACTTAAATGTTTATGAAGTGATTTATTATGCGGATTGCTTCACATCCGCGTCAGAAGTTAGGTCAATTTTTTTTCTTCATGGTAGTCACAAATTGTAACGCAAATTGTTATTGGTGTGAATTTCTACAACAAGTACTATCTCCTCTAGCTCATTGCAATACTTGGTCTTTGTGGGAGGTTCTGTCAAGATAGGCTCAGGGCAGAGGATCAGACACAACCATCAAGCTTCCTTTTTGGTACTTTATATTGAGGTTGTAATGCTGTACAGGGCTGTCAATAAGGGCTGTAACCCGTAACACCTGTTTACGGCTGAGTATGTTTGATGGCCCCTTGATGTTATGGGTGAAGTGGCCTGTAGTTGATTCAATTCACCCATAAAGTAACAAGTTTGCTACAGGTGTGAAGATCAAGGCTACAGGTGAATTAAAACTTAATGACAGCCTTGCTGTAAGTGCAGCAACATCCTCTGGAGACTGTGGGGCAGAGCCAAGGTCCTTCTTAAATATAGCTTCAAGAGGCTGATGATCTGTTTGAACATGCACCACATCTCGACCATACAGGTACATATCAAACGTCTCACAAGCAAAAGCAACAGAGAGAAGTTCCTTCTTAATCTGAGCATAGCAACTTGCTGCTGGAGTTAGAGCTCTTGAGGCAAATGCAACTGGCTGACCCTCCTGAAGTAAGGAGGTGCCAAGACCACTGAGAGATGCATCAATTGTGAAAGTGAACACTCTATTCCCCAGGTAAACAGCCAACACCTTGAAAGACATCAGCAAAAGGGCTTAATACAGGATCCTTTGTGACATTCTCAGAAACTGCTGACTCTATCGTTAGAGCTGTAACCACATTATTGACAGGGGTATCAACACCAGGCACCATAATCTTTGCCAGACCCATGACTTGTGATGACTTCAAACCAAGCAAAGGTGTAACTTCTTGATCAGCAATAACAAAGTTAAGTTCACGCTTGTTACCTTTATGTTCCACTTTCAGCCTTGCAGAAGCAAGAGCCTTTTGCTTTGAGTGATCATGCATAAGCAGTGTGATCTCCTTAGGAACAATGTTAGCTTCACTGTAATCTTTTTTTGCCCTTATGTAATTCTGCAGTGGTAAGATATTTGCAGGGGAACCAGTGTCAATTTGAAATGTTACTGATGCTGAACCATTCAAAATGAGCGAAACAAGAGCTTGATCTTTACCACTAACACTATGAACGTAAAAGACTTCTTGTTCAACCATAATAATTATGAACTTTTGCATCTTCAGACTTGCTTTGACACTTGACTGCAAAATGGCCTTCTTTGCCACACTTCTTACATTAATTTTCAGACCTGAAGCTGGCCACAACGTCCTTTCCAGTGCATCTGTACCACCACAAAACAAACACTCTTTAATCTTGGGAGGGTCCTTGCTGGGAGGTTTGCGACACGACCTTTTCTCGTGCTTGGGTTTTGACTTTTGCCCCACTGCATCAATATCTTCGTTAGCTGAAAATTCTTCTGAGATCCTGTCGCTCGCAAGGGAGAAACTTGACTTGCCTTGATAGTTTTGATGGCTTTATCTAGGTCAAGGCCTCGCTCTCCAAGAAGCTTTTCACGAACTCTGTCATTGTTTACACCAAGAATTAGCTGGTTATGAACGAGCGACTCACAAAGCGCACCAAACTCACATGACTCTGGGAGCTTCATCAATGCAGTTAACATGTAACTATCAAGCAATTCATTTGACAATTGCTCACGTTTGAAGAAAATGTATCTTTCATAAGTTTCATTACATACAGGAACACAATGCTCCTTGAACTTTTCCAAAACCCTATCAATTTTTAGAGTGTCTGACGAATCTTCCCATTGAAAGGTTTCATTCCTTCTTTGCTGATCACATTTAACAACAAAGCCACTCGCACTTCCTGTGTTTTCTTGTGAATGCCAGCTGCTAGCTTGTACAACTTCCATTCACAACGAAACAATTTCCAATTTTCTCCTTGATGCAAAAAGTCGGAAAGATTCAACAGCAAGGGAATTTTCGCAGAAGTACTGACTGCAGCCATGATACTTGCGATGCAAAGTGCAATGATCTAAATGCAAACTTGAACGCAAACTATAGTCTTCAGTGAGCTTACCACTAACGGACGAAGCATTGGACTTGAAAACTTCCAAGCTGGGAAGTAATCCGGCTTGATAAAATGGTCTAAATCCCGCTAAGTGACACCATGTTAGGATCAACGTAAGGACATAGAGCAGGATCACCTATCAGTACTTTACTTTGTTGTTAAGATTCTGAACTGGCATGTGAGCATGCATGAACAGCAAGAAAGTGTTTCTGGAGAGGTAAGCCATTGTTTGTCGATCGCCATCTGACAATATGACAAGTCTCAAATTTATTAGGGTTTCGGAAATTCAAGGACATATTACGAAGAATCATTTACTAAGAACGTGCTCTGTATACTTAATCTTTTGGTCAAAAAAATGCTTCCTGTTCGTATAAATGGACGTGTTCAACAAAACGGGCAAGTAATAGGCCATGTTCGATATATCAATATTCTGGCATGTCCCCGAGGATTTCAGGACAAAATTGTCAAGTTTCTTTTGTCCCTCAAATCCCGAAAGATACTCAGTTACAAAGAAATCATTTTAAAAGAAAAATAAATGCTACAAATTGATGTTTTGGTGTTATCTTGTCGCCATTATCAAATCCAGATTAAAGTTGTTCAGTTCAGTTAATTGTAGTTATATACTAGCTTAGGTGTTAAGAAGGAATCCACCAAAAGTTCGAGTAACAAGTGGACTAAAACTTTTTAGTGAGATTATTTTCATTGTATTGGAAACTTCAGTGCGATCCTTTTAAATATCTTCTCAAAAGAAATCATTTCTAACAACACCAAATGTAGAAAATAAACATTGACTCAGAAGTAACATATGAAACACTTAAAAGTACTGGTGAAATGAAACTGATGATGAAATTTTACCTGTGTTATACCTGACAATTTCTCTGAACTTTGAAATTTACTTGCTCGAGTTCCCATGAGAAAGTGTTTTTGGTGTTATTTCAGANTTTGCGACGAGCCTTCCACTACAGGAATGAGGAAGTTCTCATGTTAACACATGTCATGAACAAGCCCTGCAATATCAACACTTCAATCCTGAAGGGTCTTAATTACAAAAAAGAATTATTGTTGTTGGCACTACAAATTATTATGATAATCAGAGGCCAATTAATTACTTTGAGCATTTTGAGGCAATGCATTGAGCTCCTCGGCTCAAATTTTGTATGGTGCGAAAACCTCTGTTTCGAAGTCTTTTGTAGTAGCTATTTCAATCTGTGATAATCTGAGCAACCTAACTTGATTTCAAAACAGATATAATTCTTGTAGATTCATCCAATTTTAGGTTAACTTTGGCAATGTTTCTTGAAATTTGTGTAACAAGGAAAAGTTCTTTCCCTGCTGCATTGTATTCCTGGAGAAGAAAACCCTCCTCTCAAAAAAAGCAAACTGAAAACATTTTAGTATCCATACGTGACTGGTTATCAATAAAAACTCTGTAGAGAATCCAAAGTGCAATATGAAATCATTACTCTTATTCTACATCATAACTAAGACAGCATTCTAAGCAAAGTAAGTACTGCACATTCTGTTTATAGATATGCTTGTAAAAGAAAATAAGAGTAAATTTATTTTGTGGAGTTGCTTCAATTCTCAGCATGGCGCCTACGCGGCACAAACTTTGTAACTGACATTTGTCACCTCACGATGCGAGGTCAGAATTTCAAAATACAGCAGTTCTAAGTTAAATGGCATCTAAAGCAATCATATTGTAACCATTTTTACTAGTAAATTAACCTAAATTAAATTATATTTGAGTCTGCAAAATGCCCCAACTCCTTTCGATTTTTCTGATGCTTTCTTCAGCGACAGAATCAAAACAAAAACAAATGCTCACAATGCATGCCGTTCGAAAGAGAGTCTTTAAATAACTAGCAATTGCTCACCACTAATTGAGGACTCTATCTACAATTAGAAGAGTGATAAAAAGCGAATCTATAATACAAATTAAATAGTGATAAATTGGACCTAATAGTAAATCTATAATGAAAATCAAAATAAAACTTGTTTTAGGACTAGCATAGTTTACAATTTGTGCAATTATTAATGCATTTCTTGTAGCTGATCTAATAATTAATGTCTAACTTGATACGGAAGACTATAGCCCTTCAGTCCCTCATATGATGGTTATCACTGTTTTATGAAGTGACTAATGTTTTAATTTGAATTACTTACAAAGTATAGCTAAATGTAATGGCTTTTCACTACAAATTGCATTCATGATTTATTTCACATGCTGTACAAATAATTGCTGGCACTGCGTGATCAAAGTTGTTTTGATGCATAACCATACCCAAATGCACAGTTAGGCAATCAGAAGCTGTGTCTACTGCGCTGATATGGCTACAATATTGTGGTCACTTGGCCAAATTTGGGTACAAAAGAAGCCTCAAAATTGCTCCCAGATGATCAGGTTACTGGACTACGTTTAAGGTTGAGGACTTAGTAGATAACTGAGCCTTGGAGTAACAATTGTCTACATGTAGCCAGGTCGCATACCTGTCAATATCCCAAAGTTGTAATGGTGAAACACCCCCGGTATGACCACTGCTTCCGCTTACTACGCTCCTGATGTGTAGAAATATACAGGTACTATTATGTTTAATATTGTTTGAAAAACAAACATTTTGCAGCAATCAAGCCTGCTGTTCACAGGTTTATGAGGCATGGAAGTTTGCAAATTTTGGGTGCTTTCAATTTAAGCCACAATTACAGAAATTTAGGCTCAGAGGCAAATGGCAAACATTGTTTTGGTTCATTTCCAAAACATAAGACATTATAAGCAAATTTTATCTCCAGTTGCAATCTCAGCACACATAAGATAGACATCATTTATCAACAACTGCAACATGATTTTTTATCAAAAATCAAAAATGACCAGGTTCAGGAGACATTATGCAACAAAAGCAAGTTACTTGAATTTGTATATCCCATCTGAAGAGGTCACATCCACTAGTAAGACTGGGCTGGGTTGTTCGAAAGCCGGCTAAAGCTAACCCAGGATTAAAAGTTAATCAAAGTATAAATTTTTCTTCTATAAAAATGTTTTTCATTGCTTGTGTTTTGTGTAGTTTGAGATTCTTCAAACTCAAACCAGAAGAACAAACAATACAAACAGAGAACAGCACCCAAAAGTTACAAAACTGAAATCAAAATGTTCAGTTCCAGAAAATGTCCATACTCCCCACCCCTCCAACAGAAGGGATTGGAATTTCCTGGGGGGTGGGGGGTTCTGCAAGACCAGCAATGTATGAAGATCAATCGGAATTTCCAGAGGGGTGGGGGGGGGGGGG